TTTACATTTTATGGGGCTGGGATTGTGGCTCAGCAGTAGAGTGATCAACTAGATCAACTAGCACAGCACTCGCCTAGCACTTGCCTAGCATGGGCGAGACCCGGTTTGATCCTCAACACCACATAAAAAAAAAAAGGCATTGTATTGTGTCCATCTACACCTAAAAAAGTAAATTTTTTTTAAAATTTACATTTTATGAACTTCTACATGTAGCTGTCTTTCACTTAGTATTTGTCTTTAGTTCCTCTTTTCTGGCAGCATTTGAGCTTAGTGAATATCCAGGAGTTGAAGTAAAATACAAGTAGTAAAAAAAAAAAAAAAGTGTATATATATATATATAAAATGTAATATATATAAAATATACACACACATATATCTCACAAATATATATGCACATATAAAGTGTGATATATGTATGTGTACATATATATGTATATATGTGTGTGTGTGTATATATATATATATATATATATTTAAATCTTATCAAGTGAGAGGGAGAGAGGGGGGGGGAAGGGAGAGGGAGAGACTGTGTGTGTGAGAGTGTGTATGTGTATGTTTATACACTCTTTGACAAGTTTTTCTTTGGGGCAGTGCTGGAGAGTCAGCCCAGTATCTCTTGCATGATAGGCAAGTGCCCTACCATTGAGGTGCACTACCTCAGCCCCTTCAAGTCTTCATTTTACTATCACAATCAGTAAATAAGTAAAAGGCTAAGGAAATGGTTACAAGATTTGGAGCCTTTCAACTGCAGAGGTACAGTCTAAGTCTAAATTTGGTCAAGAAGCATCAAAAACCAAAAATATAAAACAAGTACAACAACAACAAAAAACATTACTTTTAATATATATTAATTTCAAAATCATGGCAGTTAGTCTATGAATGTCAACTTATTCTTAAATCTCTGAAGAAATATAAAATGGTAATTAAAGAGTGAAAATAAATTATGCCTGTAATCCCAGTGACTCAGGTGGCTAGGCCGGAGGATGGCAGTTTCAACACCAGCCTGGGCAACTTCATGAGACCCTGTCTCAAAATGTAAAAGGCTGGAGATGTGGCTCAGTGGCAGAGCATTCCTGGGTCCAATCTCTGGTACAAAAAGAAAAAAGACTCTGCATGAAATCACACTTGGAAAAAACTCTTCCAACAAACATTTGCTGAGGACTTACTATGTGCCAAACCAATTCTAACCACGTTGCAAACAACTGACAATCTGTCAGGCCATGTCTATGCCTCACAGACATTTTACACTCATTACCATTTATTATACCCACTATGATAAGGATATTTTCTATAAATAAAAAAATGTATCAAATTCTGATGGAGAAAAATCAAATAGTTAGAAGTTAGTAGTTAAAAATCATAAAAAAACAGTAAACTAAAAGGGCTAGCAAATAGTACTCTCCTGGGATAGGTGGTCCTGAAGTGATACCCGGTGACCTCCATGTGAAAAGGAGCTAGCCCTGGGCAGTTGGGGAAAGCCAAAGAGCACTAAGATGGCAAAACGGCTTGAGTACAGTGAACCAAAGGGCAAGTGGCACAAGCTGAAGTCACAAAGTGGCAGAAACTGGATCTCACAGATCTCTGAGGGCCATGTAGGAAAGTCTGAATTTCATCCACGTGCAATGGGGAGCCATTCAGAATTTTAAATAAGCAAGAAAGATCTGATTTGCATTTTAATAAAATTCATTTTTGTAACTGGATAAAAGTGGATTGAGGAGGAACTGGGGAGGCCAGCTAGGTTATCCCGGTGAAACGTAAGAAACAGTGACTTTGCCTGGAGTGCCAGGAGTGGGGGGTGGGAGTAACTCCAGATGCCCTTTGGAGACGGGAGAACTGAATGGATGTGGGGAAAGGAAAGGAAAGGAAAGAATCAAGGTGGAGTCAAGGTGGAGCTTGGGTTTCTGGGCTTGAGCAAATGGATGGAGAGCAGAGCTATTTACTGAAATGGGTGGTGCAAAAACAGACGGATTCTTCACCTACTGTGTGCTCATTCCTACCTGGTGATTACCCAAATGCCAAATCCGGTGAGTCCATATCACATCCACTCTCCTCCTCCGGCCAGTGCCTTACCCTCAATGCTGCATTCTCTCCTGGTGTCTGACACCAGGCCCTTCAGTGCTCCTCTTCCTCAGAGCCTCTTTCCCAGGTTCTCCTGAGCCCTGGACTACCCTTGGGCCTCCCTATCTCCTTCAATGCATTCTCCCTGGATGACCTTGTCCAATCAACCCAAGTTTTAATGCTGGTCACACAAACCTCGCAAATCTGTAGTTCCAACCTGAGCTTTCTCCTCACTTCCGGAACCATCTACCCTACTGTCTCCCACATCTACACTTGGACAATTCACCAGCATCTCAGACTGAACATACCAGTATACCCCCAGGGCTACCTTCTCCCAACATTCCTATTTTTCCATTTCATATCCTTCATTTGTGAAAAGTACCCCTTCCTAAAACAGATCCAGCCTCCAAGCCCAAAACCTATGGTTCATGTTATCCACCTCCCAATTCAAGTCCACACCAAATCAATTTCCCATCAAATTCACTTCCTCACTAGCTCATCCGTGTGTCCTCTCCTCATATCCCCTGCCTTTCATCCGGGTCGCCATCCTCCTCCCCTGGGTTATTAGGCCAGCCCTCTGGTTTCTCTGCCTCACACCACCCTAACCATCCTTCATGGATTTAGGAGTGGCAGGTGAGGTTCCTGGTGAGCTGGGCCTCTGGCTGGGTCTCCCACCTCAGCCTCCCAGCACACTGAACTACTCACAGCTTAACTCACTATTCCAGGTGCAGTTTCCTCAGAAGCCTACGCAGTTTAAAGAACTCTTCCTCCAGTCTGAACTTCAGTCTGAAGTGATGGCCCTCCTTCAAGTTCCCACTGCACACCTGTTTCGAAGGACGTCTTACAGTACCTATACAGTATTTCTCCCACAGAACTGTGCGTTACTACAACCAGACGGTCCTTCCTTGAATAGTTAGCTAGTCTGGTTTCATTGTCCTTAACAATGAAAAGCTGCTTAATAAAATGTTTGCTGAGGAACTCTATAGATCAAACTTAAGAAACATCTTCTGGCCAACCTCAGGGACACATGCCTGTCCCCCCAGCTACTGGACAGACTGAGGCAAAAGGATCACTTGAGCCCAGGGTTCAAGGCCAGCCAGGGCAACCTAGTGAGAATCTAGCTCCCAAGGGGAAAAAAGAATATTAGCCTCCCAGTAAGAGACGAACTGTTATGTGCAACATCCACAACCAAAATAAATAAAATAAAATAAAATAAATGATTTGGCAAGAAGAAACATTCAACATTTTCTAAAATTAACCAGCAACAGTAGCTGCTTTCCACATACTGGCATTCATCTCTCATAACTTAAGAGGTATGTCCAATGTATAGATGGCTATTATTTTGGTGATCTTTTCAATACTCTGTTTTCCAGTTGTACCTTAAAAAACACAACAAAAAAAAAACTCTTAATTGGCTTTATGTCTTACTCTAGAATTGGGCAACACTTCATTCCAGGTGTTCTCCAGGTCTGCTATTTTCGTTACCCTGCATTTAACAGAGATTGCGGTAAGTGCTTCCATGTTGTCTGACTTCTCATGCAAAATGATTCTGTCTGAAATACACAGATTTCTGATAGGCCTCAGTCTTAAGCTACTTTTTACTAGTCTACTTGATTAACCACCACCATCACATACATCTCTCACACACCAAACTTTAATCTTTCCTTTTTCATCAGAAGAGATAACACAGAAGACTCATGTCTTCTATATACAACAGGCATCTTCACCTGTCAATCCCTGCTGGGTAGAGGCTTTCACATTTACACTTTACAGCCCCTGGAGACAGTGGTTAAAAGGAACATTTGGCAATCCAGAAGAATTCCCATCTATTTTCCCAGGTTCTAAAGATTCCACTAAGGACTCTTTCATGAGACACATCACTGATAAGCTCTGATATTCAGATTTTGTGATCGCAAGTGATATTTTGCAAAACAAAAGAAATGAAAATATCTGTGGTTTCTTAGCAGTTGGCCATCTTCATAAACATTACTTCACCAAATTATGAGACAGCAACAAGTACTTTGCTTTGAACAACACAGGAAAAGTCCTGTGGCAGACACTACTTAAGATATCCATAAAACAACTCATCCAGTTCACTTAAATTGAGACTGAGGCTAACCCTAAACCTGAGTCAGGATATTTAGTGAGACAAAAATGTTTTTTTTTTGTTTTGTTTTGGTACTGGGGATTGAACTTAGGGGAACTCGCCCACTGAGCCACATCCCTAGCCCTGTTTTGTATTTTATTTAGAGACAGGGTTTCACTGAGTTGCTTAGCACCTCGCCATTAAAAAGAGCTTAAAAAAAAAAAAAGTACGCATTTTTAAATGCTCAAATTATGGTGACTATTTCTGGAATTATTGTGGATTTGACCAAATTGTTGACCAAATTGCCAGGTCATCTCACTGGTATTTAGGGCCCTTTGCATTCAAGTCCAGAAGTAATGTAAATTTCTTCTTCTGCTTTGCAGATGAGACAATGCGCACCGAGGGCTCCTCTACCACTGAGGCTTAAGAGTGGATCTGAGTGCCCTGGAAATAGACCTTACGAGGTAAAACAAAACACTGGCTCAAAACAAGGAAGCGAACCAACAAAAGGCCCCACAGATGGAAAACCTGCCACCTTCCGCCACCTCCCAAAGGTGGAGCCGGCCAGGAGCCGGGTTCCCGAGCGCGCTCCCGGGAGGGCCTGGTATGGAGAGTCGGGACTTAGGTGGAGGCCCTGTGGCGCGGGCACCAGGACCCTCGGCCCCAGAGGCTGCAAGGTGGGCAGCGACCCTCCTGCGCCCCCAGGCCCTGCGAAGAGGGGCTCCGCGCCGCCCCGCAGCCCGTCCGGCTGCGCCCCCTCCCGCCTCGGCGCCCGAGCGCGCACAGGGCCGGCGACCCCCGTAACCCCCGTGACCCGCGCGTGCCGGCCCGCACCCCGGTCCGCCGCATCACTCACACAGCACGAGCGCCGCGGCCAGCACCGGCCACGGCCAGAGCCTGTGGCCTGCGGCTGCCTTCCCTGCCCCGGCTCCGGCTCCGGCGGGCGCTGCCATGGTCCTGCCGCTGCAGCCGTCGCCGCGCGCTGGACCCACTCCCACTGCGGCTGGCTCGCAGCCGTCGCACGGTGCCTCCACGCCGCCGCTCCCGCCGCGGCCCGGGCGGCTGCCTGCCTCCCCGCGCAGGCCCCGCCCCGCCACCCGCTCACTGGCCCGCCGGCGCCCCTCGCGGCTCGCGATTGGACAACCTGCCCGCCCGTCATCCCCTCCCGCCGGGAGGCCCCGCCCCCGTCCCACCCAGGCGCCTCGGCTGGGAGCCAGGCCCGGGTCCAGCGCCGCCGCCGAGCGCTCGCCTGCCTGCGTGGCCGGCCCAGCGCCCCATTGTCCCCGGCGCCGCCGTGGAGCTTCGCCCGGGCCGACCGCGCCGTTTCAGCCCTGCTCGGCTTTTCCCGGCCTCGCTCGGGAGAAGGAAGGAGTTCATCTAGCTAAAAAAAAAAAAGGGAAAGAGAGAAAGGATGAGAGACTCCAGGTCCAGGCCTGGACCGGGCGCTCCTGATCTGCCCTCCCCAGCCCTGTCCCCAGGTCTGTCCTTTGCCTGGGCTGGATGATTTATGTGCTGCACTTGAGAGATCTGCCAGCTTGGAAAGAAGTCCCCATCTTGTCCCACCTCCCCGGAGCCTGTCCTCCGGCCCTTTGGTGGCCGGGCAGGGTGGGAACTGGGACTCTCCCACCCCCCGGATCACGCGGGCGGGCCGTGCCTGGTGTCTGCTGTACTTGTGCACGTCTACACGAAGTGACACCGAGCCTGTCCCCCACACGCTGGGGTGGCAGGGCTTATTTAAAAAGGGGTAACGTGGGCTTCTCCCGGAGGGAGCAGGGGCCATAGCTATCCCGGTCTCCCAGGAAGTGAGAGCGTCCGCCTCTCTATGTGCCACAAGCTTCCTTTGTTCCCCTGGTCTTCCCCGTCTCTCTCCTTCCTGCTAGTGACTGGGCCAGGAGATGCTCGGAGGGAGGGCCCCAAGGTGAGAAGAGAGGGGCTGGAGGGGCCTGGTGGAGTGACCTGGGCCGGAAGGCGGGTAATTAACAACTTCCTGTAGGAGGGGACAATCCCTGGGACAGGTCACCTTAGCCGCTGGTGGGAGCCGAGGCAGGTTATCTTGATAAGGTGGAAGGAAGGGCTCTGAAGGAATCCACATTTCAGTCCTCCCCATTCTCTGATCCCCACCCTTGCCTATCTGCCTGTGGGATTCTGGCTTCAGAGGGGGCTCTGGACCGCCCTTGAAGGTGGAGAATGGACCCTCTGGGAGGCCTCAAGGACAGGGGGAGGGGGAGGAGTGGCAAAAGACCCCCAATGCAACCTCTCACTTGGGAGTTTTGTCTAGAGTCAGTCTCTGCTGGTTTTCCTACTCCAGCAAACTCATAATTACTTATCATTAATGAGAGAAAGCTAAGACCTCAACCAGACCATTCTGTCCAATTTCTCTCAGCAAGGTCCTTCTGAAGTGTGTCTGGAATGAACCAGAAAGAATACAAACGCATGAATTCAACAGAGGATGTGGAACACCTGGTCATCGCTCTGACCAGTGGGCAGTCTACCAGTGCACTCGGTTTCCTTAAAATGCTCAAAGAGAAGGAGAAATAAAGGGGGAAAGCAAGGCCAAAGGCCCTCCAAGGACCCACACGGGCCTCCAGGACCCAGTGGTGTGGGAGGTTTGCTGCGGGGTTGTGGTGTTCTCTAACCTACCCAGACCTGCCTCTGCTTGGGAAGCTGGCCCAAGAGGAGTCTGGGGAAGACTCACAGCAGTGTCACATTTGAGGTGACATTTAATGATAGTATTAGACATGGAAAATGACAACCCCCAAAAGTAGGGGGCCCTGGGATAAGGGAGTGAGAAGGAAAGGCCAACGTTGAGAGCACTGATCCTTTCCCAGTCATGAAACAAACCCTGAGGAAGAGGTGTCCATCAAACCTAGAAAGGCAGTCTCTGGGAAGAGGCTGAAGCATTAACCCTTCTAAAAACAAATCCTTTCCAGATAACAATCACTGACCCCAGGCCCTCCTTCAGGTCCAGTACAATAAATTCCAGAAACTGACTACTGACCCTAGACTCCCTCCCATTTCAAACAAACCCTAAATTCCTAAGCACTAACACTGACTCCTTCACTGATTGATAGAGCAAACTCCAAATTCCTGGGTGCCCAGAGAAAATTGATATGCTCACCAGACCACCTCTCAGAATAACCTGTATGAGCCCAGGCCCCTTCTTTGTTTGGGGGCTCATTTTCCACCCGGAAAGTGGGTCCCACCACAGCTCGCTTCATTCCTGCATCCCCTGCTTCTGTGTGAAACTTCCTTTCTGAATGAAGCGCTGAGCAGATTTGTGAAGTTTGCGTTCATCCTGGTCTTTTTGTGCTAACAGATAGAGGTTCACCAGGGAAACAGGGAACGCAAACTCAGAACAGGGCGAGAGACAGGAGGTTGTTCACTGTTACAGGACGATGTGTCACCAGACTTCTTTTCTCTCAGTGCAGCTGGTAGAGCATTCCTCAACATGCCGTTTCCTGTGCCACAAGACCTGACTCAGGGAAGAACACACTCTGTAGTCACCTACAGACATTACACACATTCTGCCCACCCAGAGATGGACACTTCCCACTGTAAATGGGCAGTGGACATTCTGAGTTTTGTTAGTCAGCTTCCTGCATCTTTGTGGGGACAAATGGAACACACTAGTATTAGCCTGTGGAGTAAAAGACAAACTCCTTTCAATCACAAGACAGAAGAACAAAGGGGGAGAAAACCTACAAGGATAATAACTATTCTAGATTCCCGCGGGGAAGGAGAGCATCGAGCCGTCCTTGAGCCGTCCTTGCTTGTGATTACTGGTTACTTTGCCTAAAGAGTTGCAAACTGTGGCTTCTCGTTTCAGGGAGAAGGATAAGCTCCTTTAGGTGTCCAGGGCATTTCTTTTTCCCCCAGTTAGATTTTGGTGAATAAACTGTCCTGGCATCTAGAACTCATTAACATTTTAAAGGATATTTTTATCCTTCTTGCCTTGAGCCCTAAGAATTGAAGCCAGGGCAGTTTCAAATAAAACAAAGAAGGGTGGAGACTGAACTCCAGGCCTGCAATTTTCTGATGTCAAACCTTTGGAAGAGAGTTAACAATTCACTGTCCAGCACAAAATATACCAAATGCTTGTTGAATGAATTAACAATGAACAAACTGACAATGAATGAATGAATGAATTGTGAAATAATCAAACGAGTCTACTTCTTGGATAGTCACCTACTTGTTGTTTCCTAGCTGGTTAGTGATTTGCTAGATTGAGAATTCAGTTACAGTTTGTCAAGTTCCAAAATTTGTATTGATAAGGATTTTGAGACCAATTGCAGTCATTCAGAATTATTCACAGAGTCCCAGCTTTGCTAAAGATGTTCTACCTCAATGCAAAGTATTTAAAAATTTAAAATATAGATAAGAAGCCATTCCTTCTACATTTAATGAAAGATATTGGGACAACAGGCAGCAATTATACAATTGGTTGGCAATTATACAGTAGAATTCAGTGATGGTGCCAGGTATCCTGCCCTCTGATAAATCAAGGCAGACAAGATTCAACCCAATTATGTGCCACATAAATTGTTTTTGATATGCTGAAAGATCTTTTTGTGGGAAGGTCAGAGTCTGAAACACAAGCAGATAGGTTCTCCTGCTGAAGAGAACAGTCGCAGTAAAAACACAGGGACGGCAGGGTGGGACTTAGAACTCTGGCATTAAAAAGTATCCGCAAGAAACCAACAATCTTACCATAAAGGGACAGAGAACAAGTGCAACCTGCGAAACTCAGTAAAGGGGAGAGTCTGGAATCTGCCACCGGGACATTGCTACCTGCTCCGTGCAATTTATTAGTCATGGATATAAATAGAATTATGGTTTTGAAATAAGAGGTCAGTATTACGCTGGTGATGACATCGTTGCTTTCTTCTGTGTCGCTTATTTTCAAAGAGTAAAAGGAAAATAAAAAACCAGAGGGCTATTTAAAACAAGAAACAAAAAACAGAATATAAACACGAACAACCACTTGGGGGCGCATTAACTAAACTGCTCCACCTTCCTTTATGATGACTGAAAACACAGAGCCGCAGCGGCTCGTTGGTCTAGGGGTATGATTCTCGCTTAGGGTGCGAGAGGTCCCGGGTTCAAATCCCGGACGAGCCCTCTTTTGCACGCCGCAGTTCAATTGACTTTTGGGGACACAGGTAAATCCACGCGGTGACTACGCGTCTGAGCGAAACTCTGGAGGGACGCCCTGGAACTTACAGCACGCTTCACCCTCAAATACTGCGCGAAGACCTAGAAAGTGTGTGAGGGACACAAACCTGGCCCCGGCCCGCTAGTGCAGCGGGTGCGCGGCGCCCCCCGGGGGTCCTCGGCCCGGGGGTTCGTGCTCCCTGCGGGGCAGCCCCTGGCTCGTGGGCTCCGGAGCTGCCGCGGCCCCGTGGGCTTGCAGCCCCGCAGGAGGCCGCGGGCAGCGGAGACGAGCGAGGCGCCGGGGCTCTAGGGCCCTGCGCTCGGCCGCACGGTTCGGGCTACCGTAGGAACTGAGCTCGTTCGATCTGACTCCGAAGACCGGGACAGACGCCGGAGCTCGTGTGACCGGAACAGTCGCCCGAATGGGCTGTGTGAGGAAAATAAAATCCTCCTCCAATTCAGGTGTGGCTCGAGAAAAAGCCTGGGCTCGTCCGGGATTTGAACCCGGGACCTCTCGCACCCGAAGCGAGAATCATACCCCTAGACCAACGAGCCGCTCTCGGCAGCAGCGCTCCCGGCGCCACCCTTCAGCCTCACCGCCTCGCCGCGCTTCCGGGTCCGCGAGGCTCTCGGCTCTGGGCCTGGAACCTTCCCACCCACCGCGCGGGGTTGCAGCCCAGGCGCCTGCACTGCCCCGGGCTCCGCGCGACACTGGGGAAGAGCCCGGGCTCTCGAGCAGGGCGCCGCGCTGCAACCCCGGGAGGAGCCGGGGCTCTCGAGCCGGGCTCTGAGCTGAACCCCGGGGAGGAGCCCGGCTCTGGAGCGGGGCTCCGCGCTGCACCCCGGGGAGGGGCCAGGACCTTTGGAGCCGGGCTCCGCGCTGCACCCCGGGGAGGAGCCGGGCTCACGAGCGGAGCTGTGCAGCTCTGGCGGCGACTCGCCGAGGGGCTCCACTGCCGCTGGAGCCAGGTGACCCGGGCGTGAGCCAGTGCCGCAGGGCGCGTGTCGGGGAGGGTGGGAGAGCACCGCGCCTGGCTCGAAGGGACGAAGACGAAGGAAGCGTCGGAAAGAACCGCACAGCACGGCCTCCCGAGGGCCACTCGGGTTCCTGCGCGCTCCCGCACTCGGCCAGCTCGGCCAACCCCGTCGGCTCTGCTGAGATTGCCCCATTTTGCAGACCAAGAAATCGAGGCCCGGGGTGTTCAGTCGGTCACTTAGGACACAGAGCTACGAAGCAGCAGCGGCAGCGGTGAGGTCCCGCGACCCGGGGAGGTGCGCGAACGTGGGCAGGGTGGCGGTTAAGGGGACTGCGGCTGGGGAGAGGGACTGGTGGCTTGAAGGGGGGGAGCACAGGGGGCGGGGTCTTTTCTCCCCCTGCGCACAAATCTGACCCTGTGGCTGCGTCCTGCTCCCGGCTTCCTGCTCCTGCGCTCCGGGGCCACGTGGCAGAGGTCCTTCGTTTCTGAAGCCCTCTTCCACCGTGGACTGCCTTTCATTCAGGGGTATGGGATCCACTGCCCTGTCGCCCGAGGGTCCAGATGGTGTGTTTGCCCTGTCACTTCTGTGGGGGTGGGGTACTTGGGATTGAACCCAGGGCCACTTTATCACTGAGCCACATCCCCAGCTCTA